TCACGGACTCTGCGGAACAGCCCCTGCTGTCTTCCAATGAGGAGACAAACCCGACAGCATTCCAAGAACAGTCAGACAAGAGTCCTGAGCCAACCACTTGAATTACAGTCCTCGTAATTAAAACTGTCAATAGATGTGGATAAAAGTTCAAAATCTATGAAGAAAAACAAAGGGTAACAGAAACGGTTAACGACACCAGGCAAGGAAAAGCAAAGATGAGGTTGAGAAGGAAGAAAACCAGAATGGAAATAAATCATTCACAAGGTTCAAATGTAGAACTCGAAAAGGGTCCGGTGTACCCCTCCCCTCACCCAAGTCACATGGGGTAGTACTCTTTCTTCTGAAGGAGGAAGAGCCCATTAGCTGGGGGTGCAAGTCTAACATTTCTTCTCCCATTCTGCTAAGCATGGCTGGCCTCTCGGGGTGTTCTGAATCCTGTTCCCCTGCTGCAGGGGAGAGCTGCAGCCTCGGGAAGCCTCCCCCAGAGCTGCGGAGCCTAAGAGAAGACCTCCGGCCTGGAATGGCTGGACAACCAAAGTGATATTTCAAATTTGCTTTTTTAGTATAGTGCACTCATTCTTTGATACCATTTACATCTAAGACAACAGTTCAGGGGTGTCAAACTCATTTTCACTGGGGGCCACATCAGCCTTGTGGTTGCCTTCAAAGGGCCGAATGTACTTTAGGACGGTATAACTGTGACTGCGCCTTAACAGTTAACCGAGAGCTCGGTGCTGCTGCCGGGTAGAAACAAGGTGCCAGGCAGATGAAACAAGATGGAGGGCTGGGTTCAGCTGGCAGGCCTTGTGTTTGCCACCTGTGCCATAGTTCATTATAAAGGCCTGCCATGTTTCCCTTCTAATTTGGAATTCATACATTGCTGCTTGACTTTTGTTTTCATTGGGCATGTATTAAATCATTTGAAAATTTTAAAAGTCTCTTCTAGTTTGTTTGATGAACATGAAAATAACAGGACTATAACCATTATTATATTGAAATCCTACCTGGTAGCTGTAATAAAATATAGAAATCTTTGAATTCATAGATTTCCAATGCCAAATATTAACTTGAAATAAAACAAGCTACAACACATAAAACTTCTCAAATGTAGGAGAAAAATTTGGTGAATGTGGTAGGCAGCCTCCGCAATAGCTCCTGGAATTTGGACTTTTCTGTAACCCTGTTTTTGATTGTAAGCTGGATTTAGTGGATCTTTTCCAGTGACCGGAATGAGGCGGCAGTGACAGGACATTGCTTGCTAGATCAGACTGTGACGTAAATGAGTGCATATATAACTGTGATATCTGAAGTTCTACGGATTGTCCTAACGTCAGGTACTTGGGATACTGGCCTCAGGGGAAGGAACGTGGGGGAAAGAGGAGCGTGTAAGACTTCTCTGTATATTTCTTTGCAAACTCCTGTGAATCCATAACCGCTTCAAATTATTTTGAAATAAAAGTAGTTTGTTTGTTTGTTTTCTAAGTGAGCTAATCTCAAAAATAAAGTAAAACATAGTGGCTTCTATTTGGCCTCCGCCCTTCCTCCCACTTTGCTCTGAGGGAAGGCAGATGCTGTGTAGGCACTTACCCTAAGGACGGGCACCTGTGGCAGAACTGAGGGGCCTCCAGCAAACAGCCAGTGAGGAACCTCAGTCCAACAACCCTCAAGGAACTGAATCCTGCCAATGACATGTGAGTGGGATAGGAAGCCAATCCTCCCCTAATAGAGCTTTCAGATAAGTTGACCTTGACCAGCTACACCCTCTTAAGAGACCCGCAGTCAGAACCATCCAGCTAAGCTGCTCCCAGATGTCTGACCCACAGAAACTGTGAGAAAACAAATGTCTCTTGATAGTTTATGACCAAAGTGGCAGAGTAGGTAAATGTTGTGCTCACCTTCTCCTGCAACATCAAAATTGCAGCTAAATTCCCAGGCACGAATTCCCAGTCAGGGCACATGCCTGGGTTGTGGGCATGTCCCCTACTGCCCCCCAGTAGGGGGGCAGGTGAGAAGCAACCACACATTGATGATTCTCTCCCTCTCTTTCTCCCTCCCTTCTCCTCTATCTAAAGATAAATAAAATCTTTTTTTTTTTTAAGCCACAGAGTCTACAGCCATACCACCCTGAATGCACCCGATCTCATCTGAACTGGGAAAAAAAGTCACAGAAATGTAAAGTACAACATAGGAAATATAGTCAATAATATTGTAATAACTATGTATGGTGTCAGATGGGTACTAGACTTATTGGGGTGATTACTTTGTAAGTCAGTATGTTGCACACCCAAAACTAATATAATAGTGTATGTCAAGTGTAATTGAATATTTAAAAAAATTTTTTTTAAACAAAAGGCTGGAGCCCTGGCCGGTGTAGCTCAGTGGTTGAGCACAGCCTGCGAGCCAGAGGATCGCAGTTCGACTCTCAGTCAGGGCACATGCCTGGGTTGCAGGCCAGTTCCCAGCAGGAGACACACAAGAGGCAACCATACATTGATATTTCTCTCCCTCTCTCTGTCCCTTCCCCTCTAAAGATAAGTAAATAAAATCTTTTTTTAAAAAAAGACTGGAAAATCCATATAGGGCAGCATTGTGGCCTAGGAACTACTTGTCTCCAGGCAGAAGGGAAGCATACACATATGAAATGCCAAGAGATTTGTGAAAATATGATGTAATGCATCCGTTTCATTTTCTGGTAGGAGTAAAACTGAACTTAAAACTTAAAACAAAAATAAAAGCAACAGTTAATATAACAACTTGAGGTAGACAAAGCCCTAAAAGCATGAATAATAAAAGGAAAAAGTGATAGGACTTCATCAAAATGAAAAGCTTCTGCCTTTCAAAAGATACCATTATGGAAAAGAAAGAAAGAAAAGGCAAGCCACAGAATGGGAAAAACAAATATTCATAATACGTATATTTTAACAATTAGCTTGTCCATAACAAAGAAGTCATACAACTCAATAATAAGACCAAAAAACATTAAAAACTGAACAAAAGATTTAAATAAACATGTATTTATTTATTTATTTTTAAAGAGCGAGGATGGGAAGAAGAAAGAGAGGGAAATATCGATGTGTGGTTGCCTCTCACACACGCTCCCTACTGGGGACCTGGTCCACAACCCAAGCACATGGCCTGACTGGGAATCAAACTCACAACCCTCTGGTTTGCAGGCTAGCACTCAATCCACTGAGCCAAACCAGCCAGGGCTAAATAGACATTTCTAAAAAGAAGATAGATAATGCAAATAAACTCAAAAGAAGAATGATTAAGATTTAAAAAGGCTGACAATACCAAGTATTGGTGAGGACATGGAACCATTAGAACTCTTATACATTGCTGGTGGGGATGAAAAATGGTAAAAACATTTTGGCAGTGTCTTACAAAGTTAAACATATAATTACCATAAAACTCAGCAACCTCATTCTGGGAGATTTACCCAAGAGAAATGAAAACATATTCATAGCAGTTTTATCTGTGATAGGAACTAGAATGTCCACCAGTAGACAGATGTATACACAAATTGTGGTATATCCCCACAAGGGAACACTACTCAGCAATAAAAAGGAATTAATTACTGAAACATGCTATAAAATGGATAAATACTTTAAAAATCAAAAAAATATGATTCCAGCCCTGGCCTGCATGGCTCAGTCGGTCGGGCTTCCTCCCATGAACTGAAAGGTCACAAGTTTGATTACAGGTCAGGGCACAGTCCTGGGCTGCAGGCTCAGTTCCCTGGTGCAGGTGCAGAAGGCAGCCAGTCGGACGTCTCTCACCCTCTTTCTCCCTCCTTTCCCCTCTCTCTAAATCAAAAATAAAAAATAAAATATTTCAAAGATAAGTAGAAATATGATTCCATTTATATGAAAACTTAGAAAACGAAAACAAATGCATTGTACAGAAGACAAAAATCAGGTCAGTAGAGCCAGCGATGGGGGCACCGGAGCGCAAAGAGGCCCTGGGAAAATTTCAGGGGTAATGGAAGTAGTCTATTGTGGTGGTGACTAAGTATGTACAAAATTGTCAAAATTCATCAAAACGTACACTTAAAATGGGTACGTATTATTGCCTGAAATTACACATCAATCAAATGTTAGCTTTAAAAAGTTATTAGGCCCTGGAAGGTGTGGCTCAGTTGGGCACGGTTGGGCACGGTCTGGCAAAGTGAAAGGTTGCTGGGTTCCATTTCTAATCAGGGCACGTACCTGGGCTGTGGGTTCATCCCTGGCAGGGCTGGGAGGAGAGGCGACCATGGATGTTTCTCTATCACACGGATGTTTGTCTCCCCCTCTTTCTCCCTCCCTTCCCCTCTCTCTAAAAAAATTAATACATATACTTTTTAAAAAGTTATTAGGCGTGTATCAAATTATTTAAAACCTTAAAACATACCAACTGACTACTTTGTTTCAACAATGAAAGTGACAGGACCATAATCATTATTATAATGGAAACCTATCAGGCAGTTCTAATACATACAGAAATCTTGGATTTCATTATTTTCTTTCCTGATCCTCATTCCAATACCGGTCAAATATTTAAAGAGTAATCATAATGTGCAAGTCACATAAGGCAAATAGAGTAAATAAGTTTATGAATAAAAGAATCATTTAATTCTCAGCCTGAAGCTGTTTCTCTACAAATACAACAATGTATCTGGTAAGCACTTATTTAAACTTCTAATTCTAATGGGAAAGAAAATGACAAAGTCAGACACTGCAACTCTCAATTTTGGAGATTTTCTTGCATTGATAATTTCCTTATGCAGGATTGCATCATTCATTCATGCAGTTTGTTAACAGGCAGAGGTAGGATAAAACAAGCCAAAAGTACATAAAAGTAAATTGATGAAAAGAAAACCTTGAAATCCCATGAAATATTTTACCTATCCCGATTAAGAAAAATAAATGTAGAATCACAGAGGCCCTGGATGTGGAAAAGGCAGTCGGGTAAATCAGAAAGCTGGACACACGAAGTGATAAACACATGCCCAGGCTCACCCTGGTGCTGCTGGCTGCTGCTTCCTGGGCCGCCGCCGCCGCCTCCAGGACTCCCGCGGCTGGAACCTTCCGACTGTTGCAGAGGCTGAGGGCTGGTTCAGTAGCGTTCACGCGCGCAGTTCCAAGGGAGGTGACCTAAGCAGACCGGCAGAGCCTTTCTTTATCAAACAACCATCTGAGATCTGCTGCTAAGTGTGCTGGTTTCTGGTCTGCTCTGCAAGTGCTTTACCTAAACTGAGAACTGCAGAGCCCGGCTGGGAAGAAGCCCTTCGCCCCGCCCCTGGGGAGGGGCTCCCAGAGCCCGCCCCTCCTTCTTCCCCGGGCTCAGCCCCTCCGACCAAGACCTGCACAGCTAGGCAGCGGACGCTCTGCTAAAAAGGCGCATCACCTCCATTCTACAGAAGTGGCGAGGAAAAGCACCCGACCTTCAGAAGCACTTCCCACGGTCATCACCACTTGGGAATAAGGGTACGTGAGAGAAACGAGGGACTTTTTCACTGTCTTTGCGATTAAAAAAAGCCTCTAAAAGGCCTGTTTTGACATTATGCTCTTGTAAGAATGTAGGTCCCAATAGTGTTTGAAACCACTTATATTCTCAACTAAAATACAGAAAATAATGAGTGACAAAGTGAGTCTTTGCACCCTTTTTTCTTTCTTCCTTTTTTTCTTATCTTATTTTCTTCTAGCTGTCACTTGCCCAGCTACTTTTATGTTGACAGTACAGTAAGTAAAACTGCCCCCAAACATTCACCTTTGAGTACATCTGTCTGGAACTGGGCAGTGAAGCCCCACCCTAAATACACCTCGAAACCTCGGGTGCTGACAGTCAGCTCTGTGGCTCTCCCCAAGATGGTCACTCAGGCAGAGGGGATGCAATTGCTAGAGCAAAACGCTTGGTCACATGTTTGTTCCATGCCCTTTGCTGCAGAACTCCTCAAAAACCACAGTTCTATTCAGATGTGCCTTTTAAGTACCACATTCTCAGATTTCACTAGTAAGAAAGTGGTTGCAGGTTTGGGGCACACACGGCTCGATTTCTCCCAGATATGCCAGAAGTGGTTCTGAGGAAAGATGCAGAGAAGGACTCTTGATGTTTTGAAATATGAGGTAAATTATTATATAATTACTGGGGGGCTGGCAAAATAAGGGGGTTTAAAATAACAATCTAGTAAAAACCTATTTATGTTTTGTGGTAATTAGAAACAAGTCTAATAAAGCAAACAAGAACTTAAACACCACATATTTGTATATAAATATAAATGTCAACTGAGAATTTATTTAAAGGGGAAAAGAAACCCAAGTACAGTAAATGTGAAAGAATAGAGATGTTCATTTCTGCAATTATTTATATTTCATAGATGTTTAATATTAAGTAGGTTTCAAATAAACATTTACAATGAATAAAATAAGTCAACTACTCATAGGCCCTACCTCACATTCACACCTGTATTAACATTCATGGACAGGAGATGGCAGTGTTGTAAGCACTGTTTAGCTAGAGCATGTAATACATTAGTGACCCACAGACACGGACAACGGGTGGGGAACGACTGTGGGAGGGGGCTGGGCTGGGCAGAGGAGGGCAAAGGGAGGGAAATTGGGACAACTATAATAGAATAATAACGTATTTTTTAAAATAAAATACAGCCCTAGCTTGTGTGGCTCGGTGGATTGAGTGCCGGACTGTGAACCAAAGGGTTGTCTGTTTGATTCCTGGTCAGGGCACATGCCTGTGTTGCTCCCCAGTAGGGGGTGCGTGAGGGGCAACCACACATCAATGTTTCTCTCCCTCTCCTCCCCCTCCCTTCTCTTTTCTCTAAAAATAAATAAATAAAATCTTTAAAAAATAAAATAAAAATTTAAAAGACGTGTTTCTAAAGTTTAAAAAAAAAGTCCGGAGGAAGCCAATGGGTGGTCACAGGTACATGTAACAATGAGGGAGCACCCTCGCCAGACAAGGGATAAAATGTAAACAGATTATAATGTGCTTCATTGTTATTCTTCTGGAATAATGGTAAGTAGCAAATATAACCCAAATACAATATAGAATAACTAAGTAATAATAAAAACACTAATGAAATCTTTTGCAAAGCTTTCGTCATAATTGGTCATTAAAAAGTAATGCAGATAATACAACTGTTCCTGAAAGGTCTTCCGTAGATCACATTTTTATAAGCTAACAAGTTTTCTAATGATCAACTATGTTAGAATCAAGTACTGTTTTTCTTTAAAAAGTAATTCAGTGCTAATAAAATAGCCTTCTAAAATATAGTAGTTAATCACCCTGGCTAGTGTGGCTCAGTGGATTGAGTGCCAGCCTGCAAACCAAAGGGTCACCGGTTTGATTTCCGGTCAGGTCATGTGCCTGGGTTGTGGGCCAGGTCCCTGGTTGGAGGCATGTGAGAGGCAAGCAGTGGATGTTTCTCTCCCACGCTGATGTTTCTCACCCTCAAAAATAAATAAATTCTTTTTAAAAAGCCACATGTGTACAACAATTACTTTAGAAAACACACTTAACACTGAACGTGCATGTTTTCTAATTAAGAAATAATTAGAACACTAATTAAACACAGCAATACCACCATAGAAATGTATTCAAAAGAAACTTGTACATGAGTACCAGGAGTCACATATAGAAAGTTCATGTATAGAAATGACCATTAGCCAAAACCTTAAAAAAGGAAAGTATCATCCTGGTTGGTATGGCTCAGTCTGGTTGGGTGTTGTCCCGAAAATCGAAAAGTTGCCAGTTTGATTCCCCGTCAGGGCACATGCCTGGGTTGCATGTTCCATCCCCATTAAGGCACATAGGAAAGGCAACTGATTGATGTTTCTCTCTGGCATCCATGTTTCTCTCTCTCTCTCTTCCCCTTTCTCTAAAAATAAATGAATAAAATCCTATTTTTTAAAGATTTTATTTATTCATCTTTTGAAGGGAAAGGAAGGAGATAGGAAGAGAAATATCAATGTATGGTTGCCTCTCGTGTGTCCCCTGCTGGGAACTGGCCTGCAACCCAGGTATGTGCCCTGACTGGGAATCGGACCGTGATACTGAATAAAATCCTTTTTAAAAAGAGAATACAATTTAATATCATAAGTGATAACTCACAACATAAAATTCAGGATGGTAAATGTGAGCCTCTGGGGACAGGAGAGGAAATGAGACTGGAAGGAGGTTATGTAAAGGGCTTTCTCATGGTGTTGATGACATTCTTTTGTTTGAGGGCAGTAGGTATGGAGATTTCTTCTTGTATCTGTGTGTGATATATAGAAAATGTTCTAACACATGTAATAGTTTATATCAATATATTCAACACCCATACAATAAAATATCAAATGTGTTAAAGAATATAGTTAAAGAGAAAATGCAATTTAACATAAACAAGGACATTCAACATGAGCCACACCATGGAAATATGTCCATGATATGTGAATAAAGCAGGTTGCAGAATGATATGTAGAGTTTGATTTCTGTTTTTGAACAAAGAAAACTCTGTGTATGTCTACATACATGTGCAGTATATGGTTATATGTCATATATGTCTATAAAAGTGTATATACCAGACTCGATAGTAGTTAATTCTGGGGAGTAAATGGAGTGAAGAATTGCCTTCTTTTTAAAGATAGAAATGTCTGTTCTTTATTTTTATTTTTTTAATTTTATTTATTTATTTGGAGAGAGGGGAAGGGAGAGAAACGTTGATGTGCAAGAGAAACATCAGTTGGTTGCCTCTCGCACACCCGAAACCAGGTACCTGGCCCACAACCCAAGCATGTACCCTGACTGGGAATTAAACCTTTTGGTTTAAAGGCTGACACTCAGTCCGCTGAGCCACACCAGTCAGGGCAAGAATTTGCCTTTGGTTTCATATTGACTGAAATCAGTTTAAAAACATGTTTTACTTTTGTCATGATTTACAAATCAGTTAAAATAAATGCCTCAGGGGTTGAGGGGTGGGCAAAACAGGTAAAGGTAACTGAATGTACAGACTACCAGTTATAAGATAAATAAGTTGTGGGAGTGTGATTACCACTGGAAAAACTCAGTTCTTTCCTTCCTGTGTAGGGAAAAACCCAATTCTTCTCCTGTGTCGTCTTTACTGCTCACACAAAACACTTCTAAGTCACCAAACGTGGAGGTTTTTCCCCACATCAGACAATTTGCTGCTCCACCAGCTGCATATCATATAATGTAACTCAATTCTGACGCTATCTGCCTGGAGCATCAGATCCCTCAGGTTAAGGACTCAGTCCCACAAGACTGCTCCTGCACAAGCGAGGTCTGGGGGGGTTCTGAGCACAGGAGTTTCTATCTCCGTGAATTTGGGGTCTATCGCCCTCCCAGTGTGGATGTGTTTACCAACCTGGGAGCTGTCCAAACCCTGTACTTCAGGGATTTTATGGAGTCTTCATCGCACAGGCATGATTGATTGTTAACTCCATTTTCATCCCTTCTCCCTTCTCATGAGAATGAGAAGTGGCTGGAAATCCCAAACTTCTAATCTCAGCTTGGTCTTTAACACTCCTACCACCCAGAAAATTCCAAGGGTTTCGGGAGCTCTCTGTCAGGAACAGAGGTTAAAAACCAACACCAGAACAAGAGATGTTCCTAGTGCTCTTTTTTTTTTTAATTGCATTTATTGATGTTTTGGAGAAAGAGAGGGGGAAAGAAGAGAGACAGGGAGAGAGAGAAACATCGGTTTGTTTCCCCACTTATTTATGCATTCATTGGTTGATTCTTGTACGTGCCCGACCGGGATCAAATCCACAACCTTGGCGTATAGAATGGCAGATGCTCTAACCAGAGTTACCCGGCTACGGCTCTGGTGTTCTTATCACTTAGGAAATTACAATGGTTTCAGGAGCTCTGTTCCAGGAACCGCAGGTAGAGACCAATATATATTTTCTGTTATCTTACAGTAATGGGCATTAAAGTGACTATAGTTAATACTGTGTTGCATATTTAAAAGTTGCTTAAAAAAGTTGATCATCAAAGTTCTCATTAGAGAAAAAAATTGTAACTATGTAGTGACAGATGTTTGTTGTGGTGGTCATTTTGCAATATGTACAAATACCAAATCATTATGTTGTACACCTGAAACTAATATAATACTCGTGTCAGTTGTAGCTCGGTAAAAGTAAATAATATCATAAAGTCTGAAAAGGTAAAAAAATAAATAAATGCCTCAGACATCTAAGTCAAATGATTGGGCATTCATAAAAGTTGTCTACAGCTGCCAATGGGTCTCAGCCAATTGTGAAATCCTGCTCTCTGCTTCCCCAGCTTCCCTTCCACTTAGGGTGAGTGTGCATTTCTGATTTGACTATTGAGATTTGGACAGAAACACGTTGAGGAGGTTGGGAAAGCAAAATATGAGAGCAACATTGCTGGCTGTGCTACACAAGTCTAAAGCAGTCTGTAGAGCCAGTTTAGCCTCCTCAAAGGTGGCGGCCTCTCTCTCCCCCCATTCAAATTCATATTTTTTCCTGGTCACCTTATGTAAAGGTTGGAGAATATCCCCTAAGTGTGGAATGTGGGCCCTCCAATATGCAAAGAGACCTACAAATTTCTGAGCTTCCTTTTTACTAGGTGGGGGAGGAAAATCAAGAATTTCTTGTCTGGCCTTGGGTAGTATTTCTCGATGGCCTCGGGTCCAATGGATTCCCAAAAACTTGACTTGCTGTGCCGGCCCCTGTACTTTGGTGGAGTTGATTTCCCTTTGTATACTGAATTGGGGCCTATAAAATTTGATCTGCTGTCTCTTGGGATTCTGCTTGAATCATAATGTCATCAAAGCAGTGAGTAATCTGGGCCCCCAGGAGGCAAAGGAAAGTTATCCAGGTGCTCAGCCACAATTGGATGACAAATAATAGGGCCATGCGGGTAACCCTAGGGCAGCCCAGTAAATGTGTACGGTCTCCCCTGCCACGTAAGGGCGAACTGTACGGGGCCAATAGGGATGGGGGGGGGGGGGGGGAAGCATTCGCTAAATCAACACCAGCACGTCATTGCCAAGGAACTTGTGTACCCTCTCAATTAAAGTTGTAGTATCGGGTACTGCCCGGAGGCATTCTACCAACTGGGGCGGTTCCCCAATCTTCACCTTGTGTCCCCCCCCGCCCCACCCACCCCCCCCCCCCCCACCCCCGTCCTCAAAGGGACCGTTCCCCAGCCCATTCTTGCACGACCAGGGAGAACAGCAAAGTCCTTCCAGCCCCGGCAATTCACAACTCACACACTTCACTTCACGCTTATGGAAAAAGGGTATATTGTCCTTGAATCCTGTTCGTGATGCCAATTTTGTGCTGGTAAGGGGCACGTACGAGATCGTGGCCACCTAATCTGGAGGTTCGGATTCGCAGACAATAAAAAAAAAAACCCAAGTCAAATGTGAATAACTAAGCACTTTACTAAGTGAGAGCAAAGGGAAAGCAAGAATCGAGATCATACATTACCAGACTGGAGGTCACCGACACCCGAACGCAGATGCTGGGGAATCCCCAAGACAGCATTTGGATCAACTGGGAAAGTTTCCAGTGAAGCGTCCTTCTCTCTCTGGTGAGATTGCAAAGTCACACCTTGGGGGCTATGCTGAAATATGTTTTAGACAAAAGTGGCTACACGCCAAGGGCCTCCTGTGACTTAGTTAACCAACAGGTCCCTCTGGGAGAAGGGCCAGTTCTCCCTGAAGGGACAGTTAAATATTAAAAACACTAATCTCCCAGGGAGACGGGCCAGTTCTTTCTCGGAGAGAGCACGCCTATATTTCATTTTTACAATAAAGGTCAAGGCTCAGGCATAAACGGGGGGGGGGGGGGTTCTCAATGTCTCTTTAGCCCATTACTGGCTTAAGCCCCTTCTTATTTCTTGTTGCTTTCAATATTAATGAGATGACTGAAGAAGGCGCCGTGGTCATGTTGCAATCGTGAAGAAAAATCAAGAGTGCTAGCAACCTAGCTATGAAATGATTGCACCATTGATCCCAATACCAGCAGCAACCCATCTCTAGATTTCTAATTTTGAAAAAAGAATTTGTTTATTTACTTTTGAAGAGAGGGAGAGGAACATCAATGTGAGAGAAACACATCAGTTTCCTCTCACATGCCCCCAAATGGAGAGCCTGGCCCACAACTCAGGCACCTGCCCTGGCTGGGAATTGAATCGGCGACCTTTTGGTTCACAGGTCGCCCTCAGTCCTCCATACCCTCTGCAAATCAGGCCTGTTTTCTCTTTCTCTGTCAACTGATCACAGCAAACTTTCTATGAAGCCATAGGTGTAGGCTGGGAGAAAGGAGGTAGGATAGCAGAAGTTGGCATTACAGATATTTGGGCCAATCCTCCATGTAATTTATTTGTGCCTCCATGGCCTGCTGGGACTTTAGTCTATTTATGGTTCTAGAAGCAAAGAGGAGTGGAGGGCTTGAGTCCTGAAGAGAATCAGTGTTTTGCAAGGGAACTGCCTCAAGGAGGCCATTACAGTTTCCTAGGGCAATGCAGGGTAAATATCCTCAAACAGGGATAAAGAGGCTACTTCTGGGAAAGAAGCTTCAACAGGATTTAGGAAGTTAACCTCCTTAACTTCATCAGGGTGTTCTCACATGTTCTATTCCAAATTTCAGGATCCCATTCCTTCCTCATCAATGCCCTCGCTTTTCAATTTGCATTGCAATTTAGCCACTCACAGGATGGGATTCTGGGTTTGGTTTTCAGGAATATGAGCTCTGCAGCTACAGAAGCTATAAGTCTCTTTCAGGATGGATAAACTCAGAAGCTTTCTGGTCACTTATACAGTGTTTGAACTGGGGATTTGAATCCTTGATCTCATTCTTTTCTTTCCCCCACTTTTTCCAGTGACATTAGGAGCAACTAGCCAGTCTCACTGTATTCATTAATTTGACAAAAATGTTCAACAATATTATATACACCTAGATCCTTGCCTCTTTTAAGTGTTTAATTAGAAGTATCCAATGGTGATATTTTGCATATTTCTATTTTTATATCATCACTACTACTCTCTTTACTACTGAAACAGAATCATTAGTGTCCTTGAATCTAATCATATTAGATAGCCAATTACAGAAACTCCAGAACCAATTCAGAAAATTCATCCTTAAACTTCTGCTCCTTTAAAACCACTTTTAGTATCAAAATTCTGAAACAGGATTATTTTTATAATACAAAAATCAAGTGTACATTTTAAAATAAAATTTGCTTCAGAAGTCTTCCCTAGTAGTGTGGCACTGAGAATATACCATGATAGCTCTTTAGTACATTTTACATGTTGTTGTATGTTCGTCTCTTTTAAGGGCCTTCTCTTTTCATTTGTATATTTTCCCCAAGCACAGGACTCTGCCGCAAGATAGACACGCAAAGGGCCAACAACAGAAAAAATATTACCCAAAATCAATATTATTACTCCACCTCCCCATTCCAAGCCTTCCCCATTTCTGGAATTTCTTGACATCTTCAGATTCCTAAACTAGAAGTGGTAACCATGTAGCACGTCTCAAAATTCTGTCAATTTTGTCTGAAATACCCCTAGCCCCTAACCTTTTGCCACCTCCACTTCTACTGCTTTATTTAAATATTCCACCTATTAAAATATGTTTTACTAAAAAAGTTATACATGCTTAAAGTATTTTTAAAAGCAACCTAAGATGAAAAAAACACATTTTTAAAAACTAGGTAATTTTATCATTCATTTGGATAGAAAAACAAACATATAAAATAGCCAGAAAATTTTCTGATAAGATTGATGAAAAAATTTAACCCTACCAAATTATCAAACTCATTGTAAAACTACAATAAATAAAACAATATGGTGTTGTTTTTATTTACTGCATAATTTGAATAGACAGAGCTATAGAAGAGACTCTAGTCCAAAGTAGGTCCAGATACATCTGGCAATGTTGCACATGCTAATAATTACATTACACATTAATGGTAGATAACATGAATTATTCTGGAAAAAAAATAAAAATGTTCTCTGAAACACCAATAACCAATTCTCTCATCCTCGGACACTAACTCTCTCCATCATCAACTATGTGTCCAACAACTCAGTGACACCATCTGGGGTTAGTACTGACTGTACAGTTAAGGGTTCAGTCCCACACACACCGGTTATAAGTCCCAGGTCCTCAGGCTACTCAGACTTCTGTCCAACTTGCCTGCAAACTTGGGGGTTCCCACAACTATCTCCTCAGGTTTGAAAAATTTGGAGACTGATTCAGGAAATCACTTTATTCAGGCTTAGTTGTGTTTTATAAAACATATAATTCAGGAACAGCCAAATACAAAAGACGCACAGGCCAAGGTATTGGGGGAGTAGTGCAGAGCTTCCATGCCCTCAGGATATACCACTCTACCAGGACATTGGTGTGTTCACCCACCCTGGTTATTCAAGCACTTTTATAACCCATGTCCAGCCCCTACCACTCGTCAGAGATTGGTGGTATGGGGCTGAGAGTTTCCACCCACTAATCAGTGTTTGGTCTTTCTAGTGACCAGCCCTCATTCTGAGGGTATCTGGGGTGCCCCCCTTGACTCACCTCTTTTGCACAGGCTCAGGTGTATTACAAAGGTGATTGTTATGGATAACAAAAGACACTCCTATCACTCAGAAAACCAATGATTTCAGGAGTTCTGTGTCAGAAACCAGGGACAAACACCAAACACATATTTTCATTATACCACAGATACTTCTCGTTCCTTACCAAAATAAATTCCAAATGAATCAAAGATTAAAATAAAACACAAAAGCTATAAAATACAAAAGAGAACATGGGGGAATTAAAAAAATTTTTTTAAGTGTATAAGGCCTGTTTTATATTAAATCCAAATATCCAAAATTTGCATTATGGAGGTGCTGGAAGGAGGAGAGAGAGAGCAAGAAATTGAAAACCTATTTGAAAAAATAATGACAACTTTCTTAACCTGGTGAAAGAAATAAACATACAAGTCCAGGAAATACAGAGTCCCAAACAAGATGGACCCAAGAGGCCCACACCAAGATACATCATAATTAAAATACCAAAGGTTAAAGACAAAGAGAGAATCATAAGAGCAGCCAGTGAAAAGCAGTTAGTTGCCTACAAGGGTGCCCCCATAAGACTGTCAGTTGATTTTTCAACAGAAACCATGCAGGCCAGAGGGACTGACAAGAAAAATTCAAAGTGATGAAAAGAAAATATCAATATTCAACAAGATTACTCTACCCAGCAAAGCTTTCATTTAAATTTGAAGGACAGATAAAGAGCTTCCTAGACAAGAAAGAGCTAAAGGAGATCCTCACCACCAAACCAATATTACAAGAAATGTTAAAGGGTCTTTTTAAAGAAGCAAATAAAGATAAAAATATGAATAATAAACAGCCATAAAAGAACAAAATTCTACCATTTGCAAGATGGATGGACCTAGATGATATCATGCTATGTGAAATAAGTCAGTCAGAGGAAGACAGGTCCCATATGATCTCACCTATATGTGGAATCTAAAGAACAATATATCCCTGGCTGGTTGTTGCTCAGTGGCTTGAGGGCCAGCCTGAGAACTAAAGGGTTGGTGGTTTGAATCCCAGTCTAGAGCACATGCCTGGATTGCAGGCCAGGTCCCCAGTGTGGGGCATGCAAGAGGCAACCACACATTGATGTTTCTTTCCCTCTCTCTCTCCCTCCCTTGCCCTCTCTAAAAATAAATAAATAAAATCTTTAAAAAATAATAAAAAATAAAGAACAATATAAATGAACAAACAAAACAAACAGTCTCATAGAAGTGGGGAATAGACTGATGATTGGCAGATGTGAGGGTGGTTGGGGGACTGGGTGAAAACGGTAAAGGAATTGAGAAGTACAGATTGGTAGTTACAAAATAGTCATGGGAATGTAAAGTACAGCACAGGGAATATAGTCAATAATACTGTAATAACTCCATATGGTGCCTCTTGGGTACTAGAACACTTTGTAAAAGTATATAATTGTCTAACCACTATGCTGTACACCTGATACTAATACAAAATAATACTGAATGTAAACTGTAAGTGAAAAAAAATTTAATGTATAAAGGTATATTACCACTAGGTTTGTGGTAAATACAGCAAGACATGATTGATATGTAATCTTTATTCATTCTTGGGTTCTTTGTCTTTTAGTTTACCAGTTTAGAAGAAACTTTGATATTAGAGAGGGATGCTAGTTAATAATAAAATTTCAGTAACATGAAGGTTAAAAAAAAGACTTTTAGATTTCAGTCTAAGGTCTTGGGGACAACTGAGGGACTGACTATAAGCAGAGCTATGGCTTTTAGATTTACTTTTAATAGATTGCTCCAGCGGCATCATGGGAAATAAAGGCAGAGCAACAATTAATTAGGGCACTATGGTAGTTATCCAAGAAAAAAATGATCACAGCCTAAACCTGAGTGGTGGAAATGGGGGCAGAAGAAAGTTTATGGAGTGGAGAGAGGTGATAACGAAAAAGTAAACACGAAAACATTCAGGGAGTATGTGCATATGGGGACCCAAGCAAAGGAAGTAGCCAAGGGTGAACCCTGGGATTTTTGGCTCTACCCTAATACAATGTGACCTTGAGTTGGTCATTAAACCTCTGTGTTGATGTAATCAACTAGTTTAGTATATGACCTTTCCACTTCAAAGGATCCATTTTAGGATGAAATGAGACATTGCATGTGAAGGTGCTATGGAAATAAAATAGTTAATTACATTGTATGAGTGTAGTAATGACAATTGACGTAACACCTTCCATGTCTGGCACAATATAACACGTTACAAATGCAATCTCTTTTCATTTTCTCTAAGATGTCACTAACTCTACTTTATAAGTTAGAAAATTGAGTCAAAAAAATGAGGTCACTTAGTCCTGGCCAGGTAGCTCAGTTAGTCAGAGATTCATCCAATATGCCAAGGTTGTGGGTTCAATCCCTGGTCAGGGCACATATAAAAATCAACCAATGCATACATAAATAAGTGGAACAACAAATCAATCTATCTCTCTCTCATCCTTCCTCTCTCCCTCTAAAAACCAATGAATAACATTTAAAAAAATATTTTATTTTTAGAGGGGGGAAGAGAGGGAGAGAAACGTCAATGTGTGGTTGCCTCTTGGGTGGCCCCCACTGGGGACTTGGCTTGCAACACAGGCATGTGCCCCGACCTGGATTCAAACCAACAACCCTTTGGTTCACAGCCCATGCTCAATCCACCAAGCCACATGAGCCAGGGCCAATAAATGAAAAATTTTTTGAAAGTTATGTAACTTGTCCAAGGTCACATAGTGATAAACATTGCAAAATTAGAATTCAAATTCCAATTGTTTGACTCTGGAATTCTAATACACCACTCTGCCTCGTTAGGGTTCCTTCCTTAAAATGTTCTCCTATACTGACATCCCTCCTGAATCAAAGAGCTAAACACCTGCTGCCACCTCAATTTCTTCAATCATAAACTAAAATGGATCGCTCCCGAAATGTGACATTTTGTTTGAAACTCTTCAAAACCCATTCTATAGTTCTCCCATTCTATACATACATTAGCATACAGATGACACTCCCTTGATACTCTATTTTGTATCATATAATGAAAAATAATTTGCTTGAAAGTGGATAACCAAGACTAGTAAAATTATATATGCAAATAAATTGTCTCTAGAGGAATCATGAGGATCCTTGGTTTTTGCTGACTTTGTCTAATTAATACCTGATATGTTAGTGGAGATGCCTAATTTAAAGTTCTGATATATAGCAGCACAATTTACAATAGCCAAGAGTTGGAAGCAACCTAGGTGCCCATCAGTAAATGAATGGATCAAAAAATTGTGGTACATATACACAATGGAATTCTATGCAGCAGAGAGAAAGAAGGAGCTACTACCCTTTGCAACAACATGGATGGAACTGGAAAGCATTATGCTGAGTGAAATAGGCCAGGTGCTGAAAGACAAATACCATATGATCTCACCTTTAACAGGAAACTAAACAACAAAACAAACAAGCAAGCAGAATAAAAACAAAGACACTGAAATAGAGAACAAGGGGACAGTGACCAGAGGGGAGAGGGAAGGGAATTTAAGGGGAAAAAAGGGGAGGGATTTGGAGGAACAAATAAGAAGGACACAAGGACAAGAACTAAGAGGAGTGGAAATAGGAGGGAGGTGGGGAGCACGAGGTGGGGGGGGGCTGGGATGGGAGAAATAGACAAAAAACTGTACTTGAAAAGTAAATAAAATTTAAAAAATAATAAAATAAAAAAACAAACAAAAAATAAAGTTCTGATATTTATTCATTGTGGATTTTTGCATGCATTTTGATTTTTAAAAAACACTGCATTAAAATATGATTGATCTCCATTACTGAATATTTAGTGCCCCTTAAGTTTTGCACCTCAGGAGAATGAAAGTCCATATCCCCTTTCCCTACCTGTAAGCAGATGCCTAAAATTCTACAAACTTCATCTCTGTTATATCTCCTCATACATCTCTAATAGTAGTTAAATAAATCTGCATGCATAGCAAGTAACATCATGCATCTCCTTCTATTGTTTTATGCTATTACTCAAACTTACATAGATGTTTTTGTGATTCTCAAATATACAAAACCGCATAAAAGCATTATATACCAGGATATTCGCTGCAGCCTTAAGAGCAGAAGATTGGGAACAACCTACACATCGACCAGTAGATGCTTAATTATGTCATTCTTACAAAAAATATAATTTTGCTGTTAGTAAGAATAAGGAATTCTGTTTGTATTGATATGGTATAGTCTCCAAGATACTTTTATGATACACCCAACAGTGTGTATCACAAATTGCCACTTTGTGTGGAGAAAAATATCTTTATTTATACCTACATATTTATTTAAACATTCAGAAGGCATCAGGGAGAATTCAGAGCATCTAAAGGTAATTGTGCTTGTCTGGAGGAAGTTACATCCAGCGAGGAAAACTTAACTTTTTATTATATACCCTTTGGCACCTTTTGAATTCTGAACAATTTTCATTATTATCTATAAAAATAAAATACAAAACATTACTACTTGGGAGGACACTGGATACTAGAAAACAACTATTGGATATCTTTCAGAATTTTTCTGTCTTTAAAAAAAAAAGTTCTCTCAAAAGCTGGACACCATTTTGCAATCAAGTTTGAGTTTTCAAACCTGCCTTGAGAGCCTAAGGTCTCAGCAGTGCGTTCTGAACATTGAATTGCCATCACACCGATCCTGTAGCTTTCCTTTTTTTTTTTTAAATATTTTATTTATCTTTAGAGGGGAAAGGAAGGAGAGAGGGAGAGAAACATCAATGTATGGTTGCCTTTCATGCATCCTCTGCTGGGAACTGTCCTGCAGGGAACCAGCCTGCAACCCCAGTATGTGCCCTGACTGGGAATCAAACCGCCATTGTCTGGCTCAATCCACTGAGCTATACCAGCCAGGGCGTTCCTGTAGCTTTCTAATGCCATGTAACACTCTGTACCTTGCATTACATCACTTCATTTTCCCTAGGCCTAAAACACGTAAGATACTGGGCAAGGGTCCTGTCGAAGTAAGAGATGTCCAAACCTAAAAACTCATTTCTGATTGAGCCCAGGCCTGCGAACCAGACAATCGCGGTTCTATTACCAGTCAGGGCACATACCCGGGTTGCAGGCCGGTTCCCTGCAGGCCAGTTCCCAGCAGGGGACCCATGAAAGGCAACCATACATTGATGTTTCTCTCACTCTCTCCTTCCCTTCTCCTCTAAAGATAAATAAATAAAATCTTAAAAAAAACAAACCAACTCATTTCTATGAGTTTATTTGAACCAAACTGACAACACAACACCAAGAAGCAAAATCGCAATGGATTGTGAAAGGTTCGGGAGAATGGCAGTTTTGAAGCTTATTTTATACACTATAATCTGATAGTAAGGAGGGTTACATGAAATATGAGGCAGGAGAAAGCATAGTAGGGAAATTTCTAGGATTGGATAAAATGCAAAATGGAGAAACATATTTCTTTTAACTATCCTGTCTACAGAATAGTTAACAATTAACATTTACAGCACATAGAGATGGTATTCAGGGGAACAATGTAATGAGGGGTTCTGTAGTGCCTGCGGTTGGGTCTTTCAGAGGCAGGAAAAGACATTTCTAAGCTGTTATCCTAGATGTATAAGATCAATGGCCAGAGCTCCCTTAAGGTTTAAGGTAACGATTGACCTTTGCTACGGAAACAATAGGCCTGGATGTGACTACTGCTATGACCTGCCCAGTTAGGAATTTGTGATCAGACCATCCTATGTGCTTACTTTTGATTACTGTGCTTGTCCGGCCTGCAGTGTGACAACCCCCTCTCCATCCCCAAGCTTGTGAGGTCTAGTGCATAGCCCCTTTTTCATTCACAGCCCTTATCAGATTCATTACAGTATGCCCACAGGACCCAGAACATTGTCAAAAATATATACTCCAGAAAATGCTGGTAACAGGCATAAACAGGGATTGGGAGAGGAGGAAACCCACCCTACACCCTCATGTCAGAGACCTCCCAGAAGAATCGCCCGCTGCCTAGAAAAGTGCAGGAACGCGGGCCCACAGCCCAGCCTGGCGTACGGAATGAATCTGCCAAAGATGGATCCTAAGGGGCGGTAACTTTAGCCCCGCCCGGTCTTACAACCCGGAAAACAGACTCCTCCCCTGGGCATTGGAGCCGTTGCCCCAGAGCGAGAGGCGGGGCCTCAGGACTATGACCCAATGAGCTGCGCCCGCAGACACGCGGCCAATGGTGGCGGCGCGTCGGCACGCTGGAGGCGGGCAGGATACGCTCGACTTTTCCAGAATATCCGGATAGCGCCTCCCGGCCACGCTGAGCCGGCTTTGGGTGTTCTTCGCTGCGGTTCTCTTTTTCTGCTGGTGCAGCTATGGCGGCCGTGAAGACGCTGAACCCCAAAGCTGAGGTGGCCCGGGCTCAGGCAGCGTTGGCGGTCAACATCAGCGCGGCCCGGGGCCTGCAGGACGTGCTGAGGACCAACTTGGGGCCTAAGGGCACCATGAAGATGTAAGGCGGGGCTGGAAGGCAGGGCTGGGCGGGCACCACGCACCTCGAGTGGCCACGGGCCTGATTCCGGGAGTCGTGGTCTCAAGCCCGCCGCCGCGTCTCTTCTTTCTGCGTTCTTCCCTATTGGGCATGTTTCCTGACCCGGCCATTTCCTTTTGTAGTCGGTGCAGTCTCCGCGGAGAACAAAGCTGCCCGCGTGCGCGGCGCTCCCTCGTGCTCTGGGGCTTCAGCGACTTGGGGACTCGGCAGACTGTCAGAAGGGAGGGGGTGGACACTGCACCTTTACTATTACTGGGAGGAGAGAACAATGGCCCCAAATCCTTAGGCTCTGGGTAAAGCTCGCTTTTTATGAGAATGAATTCGGTCTCCATTGAAAAAGTCACGCTAAGTCGTTTCTGCCCATTGAACAGGCTTGTTTCTGGTGCTGGAGACATCAAGCTTACTAAAGATGGCAATGTGCTGCTTCATGAAATGGTGAGAGACTGCTATACTCGGTCAAAAACGTCTTGATTTTTCATAGTACACTCAATTTGTAGGAAGATCTTGTTCGAACATTTTCAAGGTAGGAGGAAATCGTATTCGTTACCTCTCGGAGGGAGGTAACATTTCTTCTCGGTTCCCTCTCGTTACCGGAGGGAGCCGAGAAGAAATGTAGTTAGAAATAGTAGTAGTGATAGTAAAGTGAGGATCCCTGGAGTCTGATACTTACTTTTAATCCCTGCTCCTGGCATTTGAGGCCTGAGTTAAAGGACTGTAATTACTAAAATCTAATAAAATCTGAAAAACTAAGTGACACAATTAGGTAAAGTGAGATAGGTTGCTTACACTTTTTTTTTAAACAGCTATTTGATTTTTCTTTGTTACATCTCATTTCTCCACCTCCAACTGGAGGGGAGGTAAAACTCTTCGCTTAACCACTTTAAAAGTCCCCATGACCAAGAATATGAGATTGAGAAGTCTTTTTACACATCCCTAAATTTCCGAAACCTAGCAGTTCTTATCTAAAACCAAAAGGTGGGTTAAATGGTGGCCTATGCTACCTGAGAGCAGTCGGGGTCACGGTTTAAACTTAATGTCTGAAAAAACTAAATCTACATGGCTTTTTTATTTTCACTTGATTTTTTGAAATTAAAATGCAGTGTAAACACAGAAGAGCACCTTAAACAATTACAGTTGAACGAGAACCTAGAAAGCAAACACAGTGAGAAGCATACAGTATCATCTGTATAGTGTCAAAAATAGCTTAGCAAATTTAAGTAAGGAGATAGTCTGCAAGATGACTGGGCTGGATTCTAAAAAACTGAAAAACTGTCAATGTCCCCAGAGATGTAAAAGGCTAGGAAACTGTTCTAGGTTAAAGGAGGGTAAGGAGACATACGAACTAAAAGTAGTGTGGGGGCCTTCATTGAATCCTTTGTAATTAAGACTGTGTGGAGACTTGGGGAAGAATATTCTACTCTTCCAAAGCCTTTCCATGGAGTGATTAAGCATCCAGTGATGGTCTTTGCTAACATAGATTTTTTTTTTAAATCAGTGCCAAGTAGTATTGGAGGCAGCTGGGCTTTCATTGTAGAAGACACCTGGATTATTCTCACGAATGTGCTAGATTTGTCATAAAGAGACAGGCACGGGTTTGAAAATACTTGTTACTGTTACTTGTTAGCTCTGTCCCCTTAAGTAAACATTGAGCCTCTGGTTTTCTTATGAGTAAATTGAAAATAATCTTGAGAAGTATACAAATTTACACATGACAGTGTTTTGGTTAGTAGAAACTAATAATGCAAAATAATTGTGAGTTGCTAATTAAAGTAATATGTAGCAAGTAATTGGACAATTTATGTACATAGCACTTAAGGAGGGGGTTCACACATTTTAAGGTATATTTGGATTGTTTTAAGTTATTTTTTTCTTTTTCTATTTTCAGCAAATTCAACACCCAACAGCATCCTTAATAGCCAAAGTAGCAACAGCCCAGGACGACATCACTGGTGATGGTACCACTTCCAATGTTTTAATCATTGGAGAACTGCTGAAACAGGCGGATCTCTACATTTCTGAAGTATACATGATTCTTGTGTTTCTGTGATACTGTTCATAAGAAATGATCTTGAGTTTTGTTTCTACATATTGATGTATTAATAGTAGTTGAGGCCATATATAGAATTTGAAGAGCCGTGGGGCTTAAATCTGGGAACCAGCATCTTTATCTTGGTCTGACACAAGTTTATTGTGATCCTGGACAAGATTCGGAACCCTCCTTGGCCTGAATGTATTTTCTTTTCTTTTTTTTATTAAGTGGCATGTATGTGATTTATATCTGTCTGTGATGTAGATTAATAGTTGATCTCTAAAACTGGGATGTTTGGGACCAGGTACATTTATAAGGAAAAAGCCAACCAAAAACTTAACTTTAAATAAAAGTTCTACAACTTTTTTTTAGTCCTGAGTAGTTTGAAAGTGAAGCAAACCTCAGTGAAGACTAATCTGATGCCAGGAAGAAGTTCCTGGGAAGACAAAGGAGGCAGACTTAGTCTTCCTTTCTACTTTTTATTAGTAAATGATGTAAATTTATTTCAGATTACCTGTGGAAAAGATATAATGGTCCTTTTAACAGTAGGTTGTTGTGACATGTTGAGTTTTTTTCATTCCTTATGGTTGGCACAGTGAACATCCAAGTGTGCTTTATAGTTCCCTTGGATTTGACTCTGTGCTAGAGAAATGTCTGTCCTTTTCCTCTGCATTGAAAGGACTGTTTATCCTTTTAAATGTATTCAGAAAGTCAGTACATTGTATTTTACTAAAGATGATGAATCATCCGGAATAAATCTCCAATAATGTACTTTATTGTGAACTATAGTTGCATCTAATTGAGAGACTCAGTGGTGGTTTGTCATTGTCTCTATTATAGGGTCTTCATCCCAGAATAATAACAGAAGGATTTGAAGCTGCAAAGGAAAAGGCACTTCAGTTTTTGGAACAAGTCAAAGTCAGCAAAGAGATGGATAGGGAAACACTGATAGATGTGGCCAGGACATCTCTGCGTACTAAAGTTCATGCTGAACTTGCTGATGTCTTAACAGAGGTATGTGTTGAGTTAAAACCCCTGGTATTAGAAGCTTACCAATTTCAATTATAGAATGCTCTCTAAAGTCTTCACAGTATCATATTGTGAAATAAGGTTTATTTTTGTGGCAACGATTACCTGATGTGTGTCTGTAAAAAAGTTAAATGAGAAAAATAATCACGTACCTGACCAAGTGTAGAGGATATTATTAAAAAGCTTCTTGTTACCAACATTTTAAATAAAACAGCTAGGACTGATTTCAGTGGTTCTTTAGGTAATGACAGATTGAGATTTCAGAAATGTAAGCGACTTTAGCCCTTTACACATGTATTCTGTTAGGTCACAGAAAAAGACTTAGGTCAATTCAAAAGATTTTAAAGTTGAGAATCTGTCAAATTCTCTGTAGAACATGTAACAGTAAGCATCTTGTGTAACTCATTCATTTAATGGTATACTCTTATTGTAGGCTGTAGTTGACTCCATTTTGGCCATTAAAAAACAAGATGAACCTATTGACCTCTTCATGGTTGAGATTATGGAGATGAAACATAAATCTGAAACTGATACAAGGTAAGTGGTTAAATACTATAAAATACTTAGAAAATGTGTTTACAAATTTACAGGTGCTTTATACAACACTATTTTGGCTGGGTTTTTTTGCCTCAAATTAATACCTATTGCCTAGATGAGCAGTTTACTCAGTAATATTTCCTCTTGAAGTTAATGGTATAGTGTATTTATAATCAGAATGATTCAGAAAATTGAGCTGTATCAGTTGTTTGGCATTTATTGACACAAAACTTAATAGGAGACTGTTGAGGAATTTAAAAATATATTTCAAAGATCTAGCTTGAAAACATTTTTTTTTTAAATTAAAAACACCTTGAGAGCCCCCCTCAAGTGGGCTCTGAAGAGAAATTTTCTCTGCAGAATTTTCTGTACAAGATAAAATTGGTTTTGATGTGTTCTAGAGTACTACTTTTTCATAATTGACCCTAACTAGGTTTCATTTAGAAGTCTTATTCAAATAACTCAAGAAATAAAGCTGATTGTGTGAAAATTACCCACAGTCTCAGTTCATTGTTTTACTTTTCTTAGCATAGCCTATATCCCATCTGACAGTCAGTCACATATACTTTTTCTTTTAGTTTAATTTATAGTTATAGTTAACAGACAATATTATATTAGTTTCAGGTATGTAACATAGTGATTAGATGTTTATATACCTTACGAAGTGATTGTCATAATTTTTGTGTGTTTTAACAGCTTAATCAGAGGTCTTGTTTTGGACCATGGGGCACGACATCCTGATATGAAAAAAAGAGTAGAAGATGCATACATCCTCACATGCAATGTGTCATTAGAATATGAGAAAACGTGAGTTTATATCTTCTTACAAGTGGAATCAGGAATCAGAGGAACTTGGTATTTTGGGCAAGTCACTTGTTTGTGAGACTCAGTTTCTCACTGTATGGATAGTAATGCTTCAATTGGTTTTGGGAGAATTCTGTGAAATAAACTGAATGTACCAGGGGCAGGATGAGAATTATGTGAATAATTGTAAAATTGAGACTAATAACCCAGTTTCTGAGACTCCTGGCTTATCTTCTCAAAAAATAAACATTCTTCCCCCCTGTACTTTTTTTTTTTAATAGAGAAGTGAATTCTGGCTTTTTTTACAAGAGTGCAGAAGAGAGAGAGAAATTAGTAAAAGCTGAAAGAAAATTCATTGAAGATAGAGTTAAAAAAATAATAGAACTAAAAAAGAAAGTCTGTGGTGACACAGATAAAGGATTTGTTGTTATTAATCAAAAGGTGAGAATGAATTTTGCTTTATAAACTAGTCTGTATCCATTTTTTTATTTTTCAGGTGAAATATATTTAGAAACTAATTTTTCTTTGTTACAGGGAATTGACCCATTTTCCTTAGATGCTCTTGCAAAAGAAGGCATAGTAGCTCTGCGGAGAGCTAAAAAGAGAAATATGGAACGGTACGGATATCAGATCATCTGAGTGATGTGAATTTGTGCAAGTTAACTGGGACTCCCCACCCCAACTTATTTTTGCATTTTCTTTTTCGTTATATTGCAATAAAATACACATAATGCAAATGTACCTTTTTATTCATTTTTTAAAGTGTTAAAAATCCTAGTGCCATTAAGTTACATTTACATTGTTGTGCAGCCATCACAGTTACCAATTTTCAGAACTTTTCCATCATTGCAATGAAACTCTCATTAAACAGTAACTTTTCCATTTCTCCTTTACCCATACAAAACTATTCTGCTTTCTGTCAGTGAATTTGGTACCTGATATAAAAGAATCATACAATAATTGAACCTTTGGGTGTGGCTTATTTCACTTAGCATGTTTTCAAAATTCATCTGTGTCATAGGTATCAGAGCTTTATTTTTTTTTAATATAGATTTTATTTATTTTTAGAGAGGGAAAGGAAGGTAGAGAGGGAGAGAAACATCAATGTGTGAGATAATGGTTGGTTGCCTGTCATACGCCCCCCTACTGGGGACCTGCCCCAGTACCCCTGCGTTTGCTCTGATGTAATTGAACTTGTGACCTTTTGGTTTGCAGTTCAGCACTCAATCCACTAAACCACACCAGGGCTCTTTTTTTTTTTTAAGGATTAATATTCCATTGTATATGTAATATTACATCCATTTATCTGTTCACCAGCGTTTATTTGGGTTTCTATTATTTGGCTATTAGGAATAATGCCACTATGAACATTGTTTTATTTTTAACTATGACATAGATTGTATGTATTTTTCAGTGTTGAAGGAGCATCAAAGAATTTCAGGAAAATGTAAGAGCTCTTGTCCACTTTTAGATTTCATATTGGAGTATTTGCTGACTTGAGGAGAGTGGTTTAAATGGAGCGTTAGGAGAAAAGACCAGTTTTCAGTTGGTTGGTGGTAAATGGAAAGGCTGAAGTTAAAATACATTTTAACCTGCCTGGTATGGCCGGTGGTTGAGTGAGGTACCTGTGTGTGAGGCAACCACACATTGATGTTTCCCTCTCTTCCCCTCTGTCTAAAAATAAAGAAAATCTTTAAAAATATAAAGTAAATGTTCTAAAAATACATTTTAGAATATAATTTTAGTAGTAACAAAATTGCTTATTAAAAATTATTAATCTCTAAACATAACTAATAAAAGTCACTTCTTGATATACTTCAATATTTCAGGCTGACTCTTGCTTGTGGTGGTGTAGCTCTGAATTCTTTTGATGACCTAAATCCTGATTGTTTGGGAAATGCAGGACTTGTCTATGAGTACACTTTGGTAAGGATATTTTCTTTTCAAAGGTAATACTTTTTGGTTCATGAATTTTTCAGTAGTAAAGGCTCATTCAAACTCAGGCTCCTGTTTGTGCTTTGTTTACATACCATTCTGATGGTTTATGTGTAGCAATGATACTCCTTTAGTGGGAAAGTCACGTTTCTTTGTGATTTTTAAGAAATTCCTTTAATGTGATCAGTTGTTTTTTTTTATTAATATACTACTTATTAGTTATTCTCTGATCATTCTTTGTACAACCATGTCTTGTTTTTTAAAATATTCTCTTTACACAGGGGGAAGAGAAGTTCACCTTTATTGAGAAATGTAACAATCCTCGCTCTGTCACATTATTGATCAAAGGACCAAATAAGCATACACTCACTCAAATCAAAGATGCAGTAAGAGATGGTTTGAGGGCTGTTAAAAATGCTATTGATGATGGTAAGATCCTCACTTAAACTATTTTTTTTTGCTAGTCTGAAAGGCATGGCTGAATACTGTGTTCTTTTTGTCAGTAGTTTACACAGCCAGACACCATGCAAAAGAAAAGTCTTCACTTTTAAAGTAGCTGTGATGGTATGCCAAGTGTCTTCATAGCATATCATTACTAAAAGTGGATACAAGTAAATAAGTTAGAGCTGGTAAGGGCTTCCAAGCTCTTATCTAGTTAAATTAAATTGTGCTTTGTTATTGTTGCTTGTATTGTTTTCAAATGCAGTGTTAAAACTGCTGTGGTTATACTGGATTCTAAAGATATTAATGGTTTTCATTTACATGTGTTGTAATTGATATGTTTTCTTGTAATTCTACAGTTTTCTTTGTAGCTTAGCATTTTTGTCTTTCTCTCCTACCCCACCCAACAGGCTGTGTTGTTCCAGGGGCTGGTGCAGTGGAAGTGGCAATGGCAGAAGCCCTGATTAAACATAAGCCCAGTGTCAAGGGCAGGGCCCAGCTTGGAGTTCAAGCATTTGCTGATGCATTGCTCATTATTCCCAAGGTCTGACTACTTTTAACAGTTGATTTTCTAAAATACCAAAATGATTCAGTTGGTGAACATGAAAGCTTTTTGATAATATGTATTTTCTCATAATGTAGATTTTCAATAATTTGATCAGTTTTTTTCCCTAACACTAGAACATCCAAATGTATTTGGTTCTTCTGGATAGGAAACTTGAATATCTGAAGTTTCAGGTGGCCATAGACAACTATTTTAAGAGGGTTTGTAGTGTAAGGGATGCATTTGACTATAAGCTTGCTTATTGTTTAGGTAAAACTACGATTGGTATCACGATTTTCTATTAATTACTAATTAGAAATACTGTTCCATGTATTGTGTACTTAACCGTCAATGCTTAGTTCCTGTATTTTAAATTAAATTTTCTTGCTTTAGGTTCTTGCTCAGAATTCTGGCTTTGATCTTCAGGAAACACTAGTTAAAGTTCAAGCAGAACATTCAGCATCAGGTCAACTTGTGGGTGTGGACCTGAACACAGGTAAAAGAATTCAGCTATTATTAGGGGAGAAACTAGATAATAGAGGTGAAGTAAAGCCAGGAAGAATAAAAGAATCTTGGGATGCTCTGCAGTTTATTATTAGTCCTAAAAGTAAACTCTGGGTTTTAAAACACAGTATAGAAAATGAGTAACTAGATAAAGTAATTAAGGGAATAGATTATATACATTTGAATACTATCAAAGAATATGGATTTATTGATGTTGCTGAGTGGTGGTTCAGGTTAATATTGAAAGGTTTTACATTAGGTTTACTCAATTTTCTATCAGTGATTTTGATAAGAAAATACATTAGATGATCATATTCACTGATGAAAAAGAGGCTGAGTATAGCAAATAATGCTAGCAGAGGGAACCAAATATAATGAAATGTTTAAAGCCCTTGTCTTAGGCCAGCGTAAGAACACAAATTATGTAAATACAGAATGGAAGAGATAACTGAGATACATCCAGTTGATATGTATAAGACTTACGTCAACAGTATCATTTACATTTAAGTTAAAGATTTTTCAAATGAGGAAAATAATAAGCTCATTTTGGGCAGATTATAGTTCAAGTGCTGTGATTTCATATGGACAAATAGGAACATGTCCAGGAAAATAAGATGTTCAAACATTTGGTGACTAAATAGGTCATTCCTATAACTGAAGTCTTCTATATAGAGATTGGTCGGTCACTCATCAAAAATACTGTGCTCAGGAATCATGGTTTGGGGGTTTCTCATAGTTAATACTGGAAGAAATAAGAGTGATCAGTGATAAGCAAAGCAGCACAAAATACTGTTTTAAAAGACAGTATTCAGATCTTATGGCCTACTATATATGATTTTAAGACTACTGGATTTACTTTTCAGGTGAGCCAATGGTAGCAGCAGAAGCAGGCATATGGGATAACTACTGTGTAAAGAAACAGCTGCTTCACTCCTGGTAAGTTGGGGAAAGCCAAAACCAAAATAGCCTTTTAAGTAATCAGCATACTCTTTTAATTTGATGTGTTCTGTTTAATCTCTTTCTCCCCTCCCCCATAAAAAATGTAAAAAATGAAAGTATAGAAATGAAACCTTTCGTCTGTGGAAGGGAAAAGGGACATTTAATAGTATATAATTTACATGGTTTAGTTGGATATTGAGTTTAATTAGGGTTCATGTAACATCTGATATTTTCCCCCCTTTTCAGCACTGTGATTGCTACCAACATTCTCCTGGTTGATGAGATCATGCGAGCTGGAATGTCTTCTCTAAAAAGTTGAATTGAAGCTTCCCTTTTATCATCTGAATCATGAAGACTCTTTAGAGTGATCCTAAGAATACAGCTGTGGGATTTTTGTCCTAGCTTCAAGTGATTTTCAAAGGAATTTTTTTCCCGTGTGAAGAAAGGAGAACACTGACACCACCTATACAAATTCCAAAGCCTGAAAATATAATTACAGTATTTTTTAAATTGCACTCAGTGTATACACATAAAGCAGGCCGTTTTTACCGAGTGTGCAAGATGTTTTATCTTCTGTGATATTAGTACATGTTAGAAAAGCATATGTTGCTACCTTATTAAATATTCCTTGAAAATTAAACTTCAATGGTTTAATAACTTCTTCTAAATGTACTTTAATTTATGCAGTAATTCCCTTAATAGATTAAAATTTTTATGTTCATAAATAACATATGAGTAACTTAGGTTTTGAAAGCATCCCTGTTCACTTAGTATAAGTTGCTATGAGTAAAATGATTGGACTTACGCATTGAAGTAGCTTTGCTAAAATGTTCCCCAGGAAAGTTAAGTGGAAGTAAGCAGAAAGATGGGTAAACTAGAGGCAAGGGAGTTGAAAGAGCTACAAATTTATAAAGTGACAAAAATGAAAATAGAGGAGGTAAAAAGAAAGCTTGAAGGTTTAGTTAAGAGATTTTCAGGTGGGCCATGCATTTTCACACCTGGACCTTTGCTTATACTGAAATACCCAACCAGAAATTGGCAGTGTAATTTTTTTCCCTTAAGTTATTCTACGTGTTTCCACAAAATCGTTTTTTATACAGTTGGTGTATCTACAGTCATTGAAGGTGAAATTGTGTTCTTAAACTTTGTATTTTGAGGACTTGGCAGTTGCCTCCAGTAAGTGTGCAATAAATGTTTAATTTGAAACATTTTCTGTGATCTTGCAATGGTATTCCAAGGCACAAAAGGAATTTGACCTGGCTGGTGTAGCTCGTTGGATTGAGCAGAGGCCTGTGAAGCAAATAACTGCAGGTCAGGGCACACACCTGGGTTGCAGGCAGGTTCCCAGCGGGGGATGGGGACGCACAAGAGATAACCATACATTGATATTTCTCTTCCTTTCTTTCCCTTCCCCTCTAAAGATAGATGAATAAAACTTTTAAAAATCTGAATTGAATATGAAAGAAGGAAATCAGTCCAAATGTTCACAAGGTGGGGATTCTGAAACGATAGGGCTCTCAACACTAACCCTGAGAGAATTGAGAATTGCATCTTAACATCCTACCACCTTAAATTTAGGTCCCCGCCCATTCCGGGCGTCTGGGCTCCTTCAGTTGAGTAGAGAGTGCGCTAGGGGGCAGTGCGCCCAGGTTGCTGACGGACGTAGTGCCTGTGGGGCGCATGCGCAGCTGAGCAACAAGGCGTGCTACCGAGTTCCTGCTGCTGCGGTGGTTTGTGTTCCTGCCATGAGATCCTCGCTGCAGTTGTTGACCCTGCTGCCGTTCCTTCCCGGCCTGTGGATCGAGCTAGGTCAGTCTGCTGGCCTGCTGGCCTGCTGGCCTGCCCACCTGCCCACCTTCATCTGGCACCATTAATTCCAGGAGTCGTCTGGAAGGGACCTGGGGACCTTCATCCCGGTGGGAAAAGATACCGTGCCCCCCCCTCCAATTTATAGCCTGAGGCACCTCGCAGAGATTGCCAATCCAGCGAGGCGATTAACTGTTCACGTGGTATTTTACTTCCTTTTTACTTTTAATTTACCATTTTGACACCTTTCGAACAAAAAAGCAGTCTGTAATTATGTTACAACATAATTGTAACAAGCCCCCCACGTACAAATTATTCTGCTTAAACAGTTGCAAATTTATGGCTAATTTTGCTGCTTTGGTAACCCACTTTCCCCTCCCCCGAGGTCATAATGAGGTGAATCCAAGCATGACACAACTTATTCATAAATAATTCCAAAAAGCCAAGTCACGAAAAGAAAAATTCCATAACATTTTCTACCTACAAAATAACATCCAGTTAGTGTTCAGATTCACCTACTATAAGTGTTTTAAAGTTATACTTCACTTGTTGAATTAGTGTCAAAGTAAACTTTATATGTTGTAATTGTCTTTTTTTCTTAATTCTCTTTGATTCTGACCTTTTCCTACTTGCTCCACTTTTTTTCCCTTGAAGTGAATGAAATCATCTGTGTGAATGTATCAGAAGGAGGTTGAGAAGAGAACCAAAAATAGGATCCTGAGGAACATAAAAAGACATGGACTCTGCCTTTAAGGAACTTAAGGTTCTTAGACATTCTTAGGTAGAAACATAACTCCATAAAGTAGTACATCAAGCCAGAGAAGTATGGCTTGCTGGAGATACCACTGGCCAGGCAATAAAGAAACTGGATCTAGCCCTCTCACCTACTATCTAGCTCTTTAAGTCACTTTCTTTTGGGGTCCTGGTTTCCCTCCAGGTAAATAAGGGGGTTGAATTAAAGATCCTTTTCATCTGATTTTTTGAGGCACTCAAACAGCAAGTATGAAGGAGCTCATTCAATTATTCAATAATTATTGTGCACTTGTGCTAGGTGCCAGGGATACACTGGCAAAGTAAATGTAGTCTTTCCTTTTCTGGAGCACATAATACAGTGGTAAGAACTTGTAAGAGTACGACACATGGAGAGGAGGAGACGAAGTCAGCATGAGCAGAAGTATGGGTAGAATGGTGCTAGGTATATCTGAAGATACAGTGTCTAGATTTACCTCGCTGGGACAAAGGGTTGTGTAGAGGAAGAAAGTGACAAGGAAATAAACCTTTGTTGAAAACCTACCATGTGCTCAACATTTGACACATTATTTGAATTCAAACAGCTCTGCCTATGAGAGATGGTATTCCCATCATATAAATGAAGAAATTGAAACTCAGATTAAGTAACTTGCCTAAGGTCATCCCAGCAAAGTAAGTGGCAGAACAAGAATTTAAAGCCAAAATTTTAGGCCTTCATTTTTTTGTTGATGAATACTCATGAGTATTACATATGATCCAAAATAAATATTGCCATTTGTTTTTATATATTACTGATTGCTCTTTTTTTTTTTTTTTTCCTCTTCAGGGAATGGTCAGGTGACTAATATGGTTCAGCTACCAGGTGGGAAATTCCAGATGGGAACAAATTCACCAGATGGCAGAGATGGTGAAGGACCTGTCCGGGAAGTGACAGTAAAACCTTTTGCCATCGACATATTTCCTGTCACCAACAAAGATTTCAGGTACATCAGGTGTTCTTCCAAGAGTAAAAGCTCTTTCTTCTTCTGTTTTTTTGTTGCTTTTTTTTTTTTTCAGATAGGGGAAGGGAGAGAAAAAAAGAGGGAGAGAAACATCAGTGTGTGGTTGCCTCCAGAGCGCACCCTACTGAGGACCTGGCCCGCAACCCAGATATGTGCCCTGTTTGGGAATGGAACCAGTGACCCTTTGGTTCACAAGCCAGCACTCAATCCACTGAGCCACACCAGCCAGGGCTTTTTTTTTTCTTTTTCTTTTTCAAGATTTTATCTATTATTTTTAGAGAGAGGGGAAGTGAGGGAGAAAGAGAGGGAGAGAGACATCAATGTGTGGTTGCTTGTTGTGTGCTCCCAGCTGGGGACCTGGCCCACAACCCAGGCATGTGTCCTGACTGAGAATCGAGTCGGTGACACTTTGGTTCACAGGCCAGCACCCAATCCACTGAGCCATGCCAGGCAGAGCAAGGCTCTTTCTAATCTTCATTTTTAATATCTAAAAGGACACACTAGTTTGTTTAGTATCGCATATCTTTTCAGTAATACTGTGGAACGTGTTACCTACACTTTTCAGATGAAGAATCTAAAGTCTAAAGAGGTTTACCTTGCCCTCTGTTAGTGGTAGACTTGGGCCTGTAACTCAGATTTCCTGGCTCTTGAGCCAGTGGATTTTCCATTACACTGGGCATAACACTAAGAAATAGGGGCAGAAGTGAGACAGTCAATGCAAACCTCTTTCACAGGGAAAAAGGGATTGGGAGAAGGGTCATACAGGCTGACAGTGTCTTAAATTCCTTTTATATTTACTTAGGGAAATGGCCTTGTTTTAGGAGTGCAGTATTCTAAGAAGCCAAGTTGAGCTGCCTTAGTTTCCTCAAGGTGATACATTTTGTAACTTACCTTCAAGTGGTACAGGGGTGAATATATAGAGAGGTGGTGGGGGAGGGAAGGGACGAAACAGGAAGATAATAAAGCAAATGTGGGAAATGACTTAAATGTTACATTTGTGGAGTTGCAGCTTTTCAAGATCAAAGGTGGTGGGGAAAAATGGACTCAGGAGACACATACTCCTCAGGCTCTTTGACTCAGTGAGTCTGCCTCTAGGGATTTGTCTTAAGGAAAAAATTAAGGTTGTCCAAATACACTCAGCTGAAAAGATGACATTGTAAACAACTATTAACAATTTAAGGACATTTTAACATGTTGTATCCATATAGTAAAATACTTAGCAGCCATTTAAAATCTTATTATTGCCCTGGCTGTTATGGCTGAATAGATTGAGTGCTGGCCTGCAAGCCAAGGGGTTGCTGGTTCAATTCCCAGTCAGGGCATGTGGTTGGGTTGTGGGCCAGGTCCTTGCAAGAGAAAACCATACTTTCATGGGTTTTCTCTCTCTCCTTCTCCCTCCCTTCCCCTCTGTAAAAATAAATAAAACCTTTAAGAAAAATTAGGTCCTCTTGTCAAAAAGACAGTTGTGAGATGTTAAGGGAGGAAAATATCTTACAAAATAATGTATAATGTGAGCTCATTTTTTAAAAACTATGTATATAGAATGCATGTGCATTAAAAAAGAAGTGAAGCCCTGGCTGGTGTAGCTCAGTGGATTGGGTGCGGGTTTCGAACCAAAGGGTCACCAGTTTGATTCCCAGTAAGTCCCCAGTGGGGGCCACGTGAGAGGCAACCACACATTGATGTTTCTCTCCCACTCTTTCTCCTTTCCTTCCCCCCTCTCTACAAATAAATAAATAAATAAAATCTTTGAAAAAATAAATAAAAAAGAAGTAAGAGTGCATTAGTTGACAGATTTGCCCATTAGTTGAACTGCCTTAGTTTGCCCATGTCTTTGGGGCTTCCAGATAAAAGTAATTTCAGGAAAGCACCTTGTTAAACAGGGTTGGGTGAGGAGAGGGGGTCAGAAAGCGGGGAGATATGGCGTGATATATCTTAGTTGGTGTGGTAATGGATTATTTTAACTTTTATTGTTACCTACTTGTATTTACCCATTTTCTACAATGGATACTGCCTATATATACTTTTTCAAAGTATTTTTAAACAGGAAAGCTATTAAAATTGAAGGAGAAATCACTTCTGATCAGTCTTGTACCATATCATGACAAAGCAAAATAGATGCACAGTACATGTTTTATATTTCAAACTATGACCTAGTATATGATAGAAATATAATAGCACCTCTAGCAAGCCCCTGAACTTTGCTTAGAACCATCATTTGTCTGCCTTTCTGGTCAAAGATTCTCGAACGGTTCAGATGCTCCGAGGCTGGTAAATAGCTGCTGCTACCAAATCTAACCAGCTCCTCTATTCCCAACGCCCCTCTGATGCGTGAACAGTATCTTTTTGTATCAGGGGGCTGGCACAGACAAGGTGATAATGAAAACAGTCCACTTACCCCAGCAATCCACTGGCTGACTTTTGCTAAACTGTACCAAACTATATAAAAATCCATTTGCAAATCTCAGCAACTCATTTTTTTCTTCTTTTTTTAAACATTTTTTTCTTTTGTTTTTTCAGCAACTTATTTTGATTCGATTCAGTTTCTTTCCTCTGTTAGATGGTGATAACATCTGTTCTGCCTCCCTCCATAATTGTTGTGAGATTGGGTGTATAAGGAAGACCTTTTAGAAAATGGACCCATTCCTCACGC